ACACATACACACATACACATACACACATACACACACACACACATACACACACACATACACACACACACACACACACACACACACACACACACACACATACACACACACACATACACACATACACACACACATACACATACACATACACACACACACACACACACACATACACACACACACATACACACACACACACACACACACACACACACACACACACATACACACACACATACACATACACACACACACATACACACACACATACACACACACACACACACACACACACACATACACACACACATACACAAACACATACACACACACACATACACACATACATACATATACACATACACATACACACACACATACACACACACACACACACACACACACACATACACATACACACACACACATACACACACACATACACACACACACACACACACACACACACATACACACACACACACATACACACACACACACACACACACACACACACACACACATACATACACATACACACATACACACATACATACATATACACATACACACACACACATCAGTGTTTCCCCCAAAGGAGAGTTTCTTATTTTCTTATTGTTGGAGCCCTCGGTCCTCATGATTCACAGCATGCGTGAGAGCAGGGGCTGTGGGGGCAGACATGGCAAGATGAACCAGTTAACACACATCAAATGTAAACACACACACATTTCAAACCCACCATTACACATAATCGTTTCATTCGGCCAAGTATTTCTGTATATGTTCACGGGAGCATTTAATTATAAATCTTTTTTCATTTGAAAAGGAAATGAAATGATCATACATGCAATTACATTAAGGTTAGATATAGTGAGATACAACCCTTTGACTTCTAATTTAAAATCGTATGTGCCCCTTTGCCAGTCTATTGTTTAATCTGAACCGTTGAAGTCAATTAAACGAATGAATACATTGCTTTTTGTAAGCCAAGTTGTGTGAGAAATAATCGTTTAATTAAAGTGCAAATCACTCAATTGCAATCTGATAAAGTCATCCAACACATATTAAATATTCTGATAAGAAGAAAAGACAACAATTCAAGCATTCCTTTGTCGTTAAGCCCCTAAAGGTAACCATTTTATTTATTTACAGCTTTGTGGATTTAATCAAAAAAGGTTTATAACAGAGCACCATCTTTGATAGCATACATTTACTCTACGGCAGGGGTGTCAAACTCAAGGCCCGGGGGCCAAATCCGGCCCGCGACTTCATTTGACGTGGCCCGCAAGAGCTTGCAAAGAATATAATACGTCCTTATACGGTTACATCCACTTTACAGACGACATGTCCCACAATGCATCGCGCACTGTGACATGCGCACTGAAGAGAGAATGATTTGCCCTGGACTTCTGCTTTCAGACGTATATTACCAAGTTATTACCCTATCCGATAATAATCCAATTCAGAGGCAATAATTTAATATAATACATTATTTTGTATATATTATATATACGTATGTATATTAATATGGTTACAACCGGCCCTTTGAGTGCAACCATAATGCTAATGTGGCCGGCGATGAATTTGAGTTTGACACCCCTGCTCTACGGGCTGCATCAGGGTCAACCTGGACCATAATGGTAAATCAATAACTTGCTACACTCACCCACACACTCTCGTTGTATCTTCAATGCTTTTCGTTTTCTACACAAACAAGTCATATTTCAAAATCCAAGGCCATAAACAAACTAATTCTTTGCGGGTACAACTGATGATCTTTAAAAAGACACACACAGGAGCGGACTACAATGTGATGGATAATGCACATACTGCTCAGCAATGGAGATATCTAATAATTTGTTGCTGTACGATAAATTCACTAGCAAGGAGAGATGTGAGACTTATGGGCTGGAGCTACAGTAAGGATGAACGGGGTATAAATTCAGCGCTTCTCTTTGATTTAATCACCTGTAATACTAAATGAGGACACAGATTTGATGGATGGGTGTATGGACGAAACATTAGCGCAGATAAGTAAATAAAACTGTAATGATGTGGGCAAGGCAAGTACTTACGAGTAGCGGTAAAGTGCCAGAGTTTCGTGCAAGAAGAATGTTTTCTTTGGCAGCTACAATTTAAAACTGACACTCAAACTTGTTAAACCAATTAGCACATCCAGCTCTGTCTGAAGCAAATGACAAGACGTAGAGCGAGGAACAGATAAGAGCTAATGACCATTACTGTGCACTCAGTGTGTACACCCAACTCTGAAACAGGCAATTATCTGTTTCTAAGGACAAACTGTGCTGGAATTCATCAAGTAGGTGTTTGCTCAAAGTTAGCGCGTTGTTAGGAGCAACTTGTGTGACTTGTAGACATCTCTGGTGATTGATTGGACAGGAACTTCAAAGCAAGCAGTCAGTTGGGTTCATTGATTAACTTTTACTGGCTCTTTGATATGTGTCGGATTTGAGCAGGTTTATAGTTCAGGGTAATAGCGTGGATAAAACTCCTTATTTGTGCTGCCTATTGATCCTGCTCTGGCACTGCAGACATTTCTTTTATTCCTTTTGTACGTCGCAAATAACGACTTGCAGTTAAATGCCTTTTCTTACCTGTAAAGAATGGAGGCGAGATGAAACCGTTTTACAATACACCACAAAGTGACTGACGTCGACCAAAAGAGGGCATATGAGGAAATAGGGGGAAACTTCTGTAGCCCTATGTACAAATAAAGCTCAGCGTAAGTTCAACCAGGAAGACCTTCTTTACTCATTCATTCACTATTTCCATGTTACTACTCGCTCTCCTCTCAATAAGTGATCGGGGGCGTCACTCCCCAGCTTAACCAATCACTTCGCTCTATTCCCACAAGCCTATCATGGCGCTCCGCTACCTTTTAAACTGCTCTCCTTCTGACAGCTCTCATCACCTCAGGTGAATTCGG